CCCTGTCGTTTGCAGGGATCATGGTTGCATATATAGTTGACAAAATTATTTAACTTGTATGGTGAGGTTTGCGGTACTAGTAGACTTGTTACAGGGCTCTTATTCACCTACGAGTGACAGTTGAACAGAAAAGAGCAGCATATGAACAGGAAGGCTATCGTCGAAGGAATTCGCCAGTGTTTTGGATATTAACGATTCCTGAGGTGAGCAAGACTATTTTCCCGAATAACTTATTAGGATGCGCCGTGCATAGATCCTGCTGTAGAAATGGAGAAAACTTCTATCGACCGGAGAAATTGCCGTGCCGCTGAACGGGGGAAAAGCGGGAGCAAGCAGCGATACAATGTGCAGGGCACGTCGTGCGTCGGGATCCCCAGACAGGGGTTCAGCCGGAGTTTGGTCGCAGGAGGGGCGGTCTTATTTTCCTTTTGAGAAATATGTCTTCATTTGTTGACGAGTCTTGGTTTTCCTGTTTCATGTGCGTAGTATACCCCTCTCCTCACTCGGCCTACCTTTTGGGAAAAATCGCAGAAGGTAGAAAATTGGGAGATTTACGGAAGATGCTAGGTAGGTCGGAGGATGGGGAAGAGAAGGGATGTCGAGGAGGAACTTCGAGTGGGGTCGCATTTTGCAGAAGTTTCCTCCAATACATGCCCTGGTTATGAGTGTATTGTTGACCTGAGTTACGTTTGTTTGAGAATTATCGTAACCTGATGTGGCAGAACTGTGGTCGTTACAACTTTGAACTCATGCACAGCTGGGGCCGTATCTATACTTCCCCTCGAGGGGAAGATATCCCCCAGTAAACCTCCGCTGTCTGCCGTTATCTCTATCAATGCCCATCGTCTCTCTGCTTCAGCCTCTCTGCCTGATATCTTCGCCATCCGACGAGACGGTATCAGGACGGGTGCGATGAAGCTTCCCCGCCGCGCCCTTCACCAATGTTGGCCGCGTTCAGGTCGAAAGAAACCAGTGGTGGGAAAGTCCAAGGGTGGAAACGCTTTCGCTTCTTGACACTGCCCCGCCTCATTGCTAGCTATCAGCTGTAATTGACGAGTGCCAACTAAATCTACTGCCGGCAAAGTCTGCTATTCAAGGTATCCCGAGTTTACTCTATAGAACCACCTCCTTGTGCAGGTAGCCTGGTTCACGATTCTCGTAATAATCTCCCCTTTTTACGACTCCATAGGGGGTGATAAGTGCGCTGCGGTCGTCTTGAACTGAAGCCACGGCAACTTCAGAAGATACCTCACCCAGTTGGGGACGAGACATGCCGGCCATCAGCTATACACAGGTGCGAAGCTTTGCACTCATTCAGTGTATGACGACCTGACAATCTCATCAGCCTCTCTCTAGCATGTCCTGCTGTCTCTCCTCTGTCACCCGCACTGGGATGGGATTTGCCTATTTACTATCATCGATCCCGTGGGCCTTAAACTGGGCGTATTCGCGTTCATATTTCTTCTTTTTGACTTCCAGCGTTACGGTGACCTACCACTAAGGAATACATGGTTGGCACCAAAACCCGAGAATTATCATTCATGGAAAATCGTGTTTAAAGGCCACGCGCCAGTCATCTACTTCCCGCGCCGTCTCTGATATTCTAAACCCTTCCTGATGGGAATAAGTACGGCTACTATTTTGCATCTCAATAAGGGCGAGAGGATGGTGCCTTTCGCAGAATAGTGAAGATGTCGCCCGCCCTGCCCACTTCACCAGATGGACCGCCCGTTTTATATAGGGGCGTTTCTCTTTTTTTCTGCTTTTTTCTTACTACTGGATCACATATTATATGAGCTCCATAACACATTATTCTTCAAAGCGGGCTCAGCCTTCAAGGGCCAAGACGAAGCAGTTATGGCAGCCAGCTCGTGGCTGCGGCATCTCTGCACAAGTGGGTGGTACCTCTGTGTATTTGAGTGCCGGAATTAGTACATCCTCCCCCCCCCCTTGTCGACAAGGCTACGATATCTACGGAGGGCGTAGGAAGATCAAATGAACACGGGCGCTGCTTTTGAATGCTGCGTCCCTCCTGGTAGGTCGTCCTTCTCGAACTAAAAGATTGTGGCTGGAATAATCCCAACTGGCCACACAAGATCATAGCAGCACCTCCAGCGCCTGTCTTATCATACGATCTGCCCCGTAGCGTTGATGCTTTCTTTTCTAGGGAGGTCAGTGCTGCACAAGTTTAGTGGGACTTTGCTGAAAGTGGTTAAAGTTCATTATGGTGCAGTTTGACGGCGGGGGTATTTTGCTCATTCGCTACTTCCCATCGACGTGTCGACCTATTTAGGCGGCCTCTTCTCGAGTTGACAGGTTTTACCATGATGGCTTGCTCCAGCTTCACAAGAGTTCACAGGTTTCGCCAGAGTGAGACTTGTAAACCGGAACTAGGGAAGCAATGATAGTACAAAATGCCCCTCTCCTTCCCCCCCGCCGCCGTCAAACTGCGCGTTCATTTATTTCACTACGTCATACCCTATTCAGATCGGTGATTACGCTCAGCACTTCAAAATATTCAACATGATCATTCGCACCCTTTTCACTACGCAGTGAGTTGCTGTTTTTCTTCCAGTTTTCTTGGGTTTCAGACTCATTTCATCTTGAGTTCTAACGATAATCCTCAATAATTCGAAGCAAAATCAATTTTGAATAGGAGTTGAGGAGGGGAATCAACAGGGAAGCTTGCGTTCCAGCAGGGTTAGTTTCTCTAAACTGTGGCCACACCGACGAGTGGAGTTGTCGCTATTTCCCTCTGATTAGTCCTATGTTACTTCCTCGCCGTTTTCTCGGCACTTTGGCTGGTGGAGGTGGTGGGGGGCATAGAGCTGGTTCAGTCCACCTCGTGAACACCTGTAAATTCCTGTGACTGAAGTAACACCCCCTTATACAATCTGGTAGCTTCATAGGAATTTATAGGTCTCAACAAAGTGTAACCTGTTAATTCAACTTGAACTAGCAAATGAACTAGAGGAACAAAAGTGCAAAGTGCCCCTTCCAAGCCTAACTTAGCCGAAATTTCCAAGTTGGCCTGTGTTTTACTAATTCTAACTGTACTAGTTTTTAATTTTCAGCATACTTCATCAAGAATATAAATCTTTTAATTCAGTATATTTTATTTATTTTATTATTTTATTTCATGGTGTATAGTGAGTATGCTTTCGTTCCAGTCAGTTTTATCGGGTACTGGACTGGGCAGCCGAGGTTGATCTTCACAAAACGACCGATAAGCGAAAAAGTCCTTACACGAAAATTGCCGTCGAGACGAGGTTGTACTTTGGTTCATTCTCATTAGAAAAAACTCATTTTCTTTTTTTTCCTGTCCAACTCTTCTCATTCTAGGCTCTGGGTAAGGGGCTCCTCACAGTGTGAGGAGATAGACAGCTGAGATTCTTTGGTCAGGAATGGGATATCGTCCAAGGTCACACGTAGTAGATTCCCTGCGAGGGGTCGTTCCTTATCCGTTCCCCTCTCCCCGCCAGATCAAAGTTTTTTAGAGAAACGTGGAGGATTTCCGGGAAAAATGTCCGAAGAAGTGGTGACTAAGAAGATGGGAAAGTTAAAAACAAAAATAGGAATGTGGGGTCGTTCCAGAGGCAGACCATTTGAGGGGGGGGGTCGCATTTCGCAAAAAATTTTCCCATCGGCAGGACGTGCCCCTAATACCGACTGCGAGCTTTGCTATGTCAGTGTAGATATGGTTGCCTTGTGCTATAGATTCACATCACTCCCACGTGCATCATGTTAAAGTGTGGGTGTTGTAGAGGCGGCATGGTTGGCATAATAAATTGCCCACTCGCTCAGAAAGGTGAGGTACGAGTCCAGCCCACCTGAGGTCCAGACTTTAGCCCTTAACTCAGCCTCTCTCGTAATAACTCGCAATGTGGACCCAAAAACAACTTTTTCAGGCTTGTGCAGCTGTTTGATTTATGTCGAGAAAAGTTGGACCTCTCGTACTATCGATACAAGGACCAGAAAATTAAGGAACGAAAGGTTTCATATGAAAAACAGGACTACGACGAGGGCTAGGGTGAGAACATTATTCAAGAACGCTCCAAGTCTATCGACCACCCCATTGTTGTCGAAAAACTCTCGAGAATCTCCGAGAAATTTTAAAGTCCGCGGTTATATTTTTGACGGGTTCCAGGTAATCACGCCGTGAGTTTTCAGGGTTCTGCCCTGGGGTAGTTTGACCTGAAGAAAAGGAATACTTCCGTTTAACTCGGAAGCGCGTGGTACGTGCGGCACCGCGCGAAAATGCAGGATGCGGGTGTCCAGCACCATCGCGATCTTCCTGTCGAAACTACGAAGGATAAATCCACCCAAGGGGAAGGTCGCAATAAAAATGCGACCTGCATTTGTATGAGTGGAGGG